CAACACAACACAACACAACACAACACAACACAACACAACACAACACAACACAACACAACACAACACAACACAACACAACACAACACAACACAACACAACACAACACAACACAACACAACACAACACAACACAACACAACACAACACAACACAACACAACACAACACAACACAACACAACACAACACAACACAACACAACACAACACAACACAACACAACACAACACAACACAACACAACACAACACAACACAACACAACACAACACAACACAACACAACACAACACAACACAACACAACACAACACAACACAACACAACACAACACAACACAACACAACACAACACAACACAACACAACACAACACAACACAACACAACACAACACAACACAACACAACACAACACAACACAACACAACACAACACAACACAACACAACACAACACAACACAACACAACACAACACAACACAACACAACACAACACAACACAACACAACACAACACAACACAACACAACACAACACAACACAACACAACACAACACAACACAACACAACACAACACAACACAACACAACACAACACAACACAACACAACACAACACAACACAACACAACACAACACAACACAACACAACACAACACAACACAACACAACACAACACAACACAACACAACACAACACAAACACAACACAACACAACACAACACAACACAACACAACACAACACAACACAACACAACACAACACAACACAACACAACACAACACAACACAACACAACACAACACAACACAACACAACACAACACAACACAACACAACACAACACAACACAACACAACACAACACAACACAACACAACACAACACAACACAACACAACACAACACAACACAACACAACACAACACAACACAACACAACACAACACAACACAACACAACACAACACAACACAACACAACACAACACAACACAACACAACACAACACAACACAACACAACACAACACAACACAACACAACACAACACAACACAACACAACACAACACAACACAACACAACACAACACAACACAACACAACACAACACAACACAACACAACACAACACAACACAACACGGTGGTGGTGGTGGTGGTGGTGGTGGTGGTGGTGGTGGTGGTGGTGGTGGTGGTGGTGGTGGTGGTGGTGGTGGTGGTGGTGGTGGTGGTGGTGGTGGTGGTGGTGGTGGTGGTGGTGGTGGTGGTGGTGGTGGTGGTGGTGGTGGTGGTGGTGGTGGTGGTGGTGGTGGTGGTGGTGGTGGTGGTGGTGGTGGTGGTGGTGGTGGTGGTGGTGGTGGTGGTGGTGGTGGTGGTGGTGGTGGTGGTGGTGGTGGTGGTGGTGGTGGTGGTGGTGGTGGTGGTGGTGGTGGTGGTGGTGGTGGTGGTGGTGGTGGTGGTGGTGGTGGTGGTGGTGGTGGGGTGGTGGTGATGGTGAGGGGTGGTGGTGGTGGTGGTGGGGGGGGGGGGAGTGAGGGTCCATGCGAGTGGCGAAGGGGATGAGGAAGGTAGGGATGACGGTGGTGGTGATTGGTGGTGATTGGTGGTGATGTTTGGTGGTGATGTTTGGTAGTGATGATAATTGGGGTGATGATGGTGGTGATTTTTGGTGGTGATAGTGGTGATGGTGATTTGGGGGGGGGGTGATGGTGGTGGGAATTGGGGGGGGGGGGTCACGGTGATGATTGGGGTGATCGTGGTGGTGATTGTGGATGATGGTGGTGGTGATTGCTGATGATAGTGGTGATGGTGGATGTGATTGAGGTGATGATGGTAGTGGTGATGATTGGTAATGATTGGGGATGATGTTGGTGATGGTGATGATTGGGGATGATGGTGGTGATGATTGGGGTGAATATGGGGGTGAAGGTGATGATGATAGTGATGAGGATCATTATAATTTAGGGTCAGGATGTGATTTTAGGGATAATAATGATTATAGTGATGATTGCGGGGATGATGGTGATGATGATGATGGTAATTACGAGGATGATTGTGGAGATGGAGCTAATGAAGATAATGATAAGAAGAGTGATGGAAATGATATAGATAAATGAATAGGTGAATAAATGAATAAAAAATTAACATGAATGCACACACACACACACACACTACACAACACAACACAACACAACACACCACAACACAACGCAACACACCACAACACAACACAAAAACAAAACAAAGCAAAACAAAGCACATATATACATCATATACTGGAACATATAACACTGGAATTCACGAACTGGAATTCTCATTTATACTTTTTTTTTTTTACATGAATACGGTTCACACTCCTCATAGCGTTTAATTTTACGTCAACATAACTATGATATATATATATATATATTTTTTTTTTTTTTTTTTACTAAACAGTTGGTGATGGAGGCAGCTATCCAATCAACAGACAGCAGTTGGGAAACGAACGTAGCTGGAATTCAGGCTGACCTTGATGACGGCGTCCCTGGACAGGTGAGCAAGAGCGAGGTCGATGTATGTTGTGTTTATAAACATAGGAGCATGGATGTACTAATGATTTTTGGGGTATGTAATACCGTGGGGAAAATTGCACCTGTGTAGAAAATTATTATTATTATTAAAAGAGCATGGATGGGGGGGGGGGGTATGTAATAGCGTGAGGGAAAATTGCACCTGTGTAGAAAATTATTTGGATAGAAGAAATATGTTTTAAAAAAGCGATCAGACAGTGGGAAGTTAAGTCTACGGTGAGTAAACCCGCATTTACCTACGGCTTCTTATTCTAACATGTAAAGGGCTAGGTGCTATTTTCTCGTTCTTCTGAAATCAGTGATGATATGAGTCCTTTTTCGTAGACAGGTTGTGGCTCTCACTATAGAAATGTTTTGTTTACTTATGAATTGGCCGTTTATAGCCTTGGAAATCAACAGAAACTTTTCCTCAAGTTGCATACTAAGTTTTTAAAAATAATTTATACAATGATTTCTTCAAACGATGGTTCTATGTGTAACTGCTCTTGTCAAAAGGACCAAAATAAAACAAATAAAAGATATAAACAAAACTTAATCATTTCCCCTTCGGTAAATCCGCATAAACTATTGTTATCATATTTTGTCTCACACGCTCTTCCTCCCTATCTATCTTTGCCAGTTCAACATCCTAGCCTTCCTGAAGGAGATGTTCACCAACACGGGGGTTATGATCAACGAAGACGAGCCTATTATCTCCTTCAAGAGTCCCTTCTTCGCGAACTTAACTACCATGCTGGCTAACACCCCCCCGCACACTATCGGTAAGTGTCTATAGTTCCGTTTTATATCTGTTGCACTTTTCTTTCTCTTGGATTTTTCGGTTTGTAATCTGTGGCTTTTTGTCTCTTGTTTTTTCTTGGTGTTGGTTTTCGTTCTGGAGTAAATTGAGTTATTTGTGTAGATGGTATGGGAATACAGTAGAAGGCCAGAGTGCACTTAACTGTTTTCATAACAATGATAATGATAATAGAAATAGTAATAATAATAATAATAATAATGTAATAATGATAGTAGCAATAATAATAATATTAACAATAATAATGATGATAATAATAATAATAATGATAATGATAATAATAGTAATAATAATAATAATAATAATAATGATAATAATAATAACAATAATAATAATGATAATGATAATAACAATAACAACAATAATAATAATAATAATAATAATAATAATAATAATAATGATAATAATAACAACTGTGTGTCATCAAATATATTAGATATATTAGTTTTTTCTTTTGGAAAATGTTCATAAATGCAAGCGTTATTACTTAACGTTCGTTTGTACTCCGTAACCCACTGCACTCACCTGGATTTCAACGGCCTAATTGACTTATGGGATCGCGTTAATTTCCCCATCCGGTTAGCGGTAATTCACAAGTGCACGAAAATCAAATCTTGTTCCTGAAATATTTCCCAGTAAGATAAAATACTGAAACTTTAAAAAAAAAAGATAATAAAGAAAAGAAAATTCCCTGTAAGATAAAATACTGAAACTTAAAAAAAAAAGATAATAAAGAAAAGAAAATTCCCTGTAAGATAAAATACTGAAACTTAAAAAAAAGATAATAAAGAAAAAAAAGAAGAAAATATTTCCCAGTAGGATGAAATACTGAAACTTAGAAAAAAAAAACAAGAAAATAATGATAATAAAAAAGGAAAAAATAAAAAGATAAGTACAAACAAATAATAAAATTTCATAAAACGAAGAAACTAACGCTGATCTTCGCTTCCTACGCCTCACGCAGCCAACGCTGTCGGCTGGTGGTGGGTGTACGACCTTCAGCAGGAGATGACCTACGCCATGAGGAACATCTCCTTCACCTTCCAGCAGGCGTTGACGGGCGCGACGGAGCCGACGCCGAGGTGGGAGCACTGCCTCCCGCAGGCCAATTACAACCTGGGATTCGCTCTCTCCAGGGCCTACGTCGATAGGTTCTTCCCCGCGACGGCCAAGGACGAGGTTGGTTGGGGCACGCGGCGAAATTTATATATCTATATACATATGTGTGTATATATATATATATATATATATATATATATATATATATATATATATATATATATATATATATATATTTACATATATATGCATATATACATACATATATATATGTGCATGTGTGTCTGTGAGTTTATATGCATATATATAATCCATCCTTATTCACCCCCCCCCCACCGCAGACAAGCGAGCTGGTGGAGGACCTTCGCGCGGCCTTCAATTCCCTCCTGGACGAGAACACGTGGATGCTGGCGGAGGACCTGGCCGTCGCGAGGGAGAAGCTGGCGGCGATCGACCCCTTCGTCGCTTATCCGGACTGGATCATGGACGACGCCGAACTCACCAACGGATACGAGGGTGTGAGTGAGGAGGGTGGGGTGGGGGTGGAGGGGGGAGTGGGAGGGGGGCGGAGTGGGAGGGAAGGAGGGAATAGGAAGGAGGAAGGAGGGAATAGGAGAGGGAGGGAGGGAGGGAAGGGTGGGAATCGGATAAAGAAAGGGAGGGAGAGAAGATGAAAGAAAATATACGTGTGAGTTAAGAAGTTTGTGAAGGATGAAGCGAGGAAGGATATATATATATATATATATATATATATATATATATATATATATATATATATATATATATATATATGTGTGTGTGTAGATATATATACACACACCATCATAATCCTCATCAACATTATAATTATCATCATCATTATCATTACCATCATCACCAATCTCATCATCATCACAATCATAAACATCAATCCATCATCATTCTTAATAAATTTATAGCCACAATCCCTTTCTCTGCGATTGATCAAACGTTTTCCCACACTTTCCACAGCTGGAAATATTATCCGGAAAGGAGTATGAAAATTTATTGGCAATTGGCAACTGGTTCGACAGGAATTCGCTCGCGTCGCTGAGAGAAGTACCTGAGCATTCGTAAGTAAAAAAAAAGTATATAAGTATATTTAATTAAAAATGTTTTGTATGCGGAATAGATAATTTCTTTCCCTCTCTCTCTCTCTCTCTCTCGTTCTCGCTCTCGCATACTCTCTCTCTCTCTCTCGTTCTCACATACTCTCTCTCTCTCGTTCTCACATACTCTCTTTCTCTCTCTCTCGTTCTCACATACTCTCTCTTTCTCTCTCGTTTCACAAACTCTCTCTCTCTCTCTCTCGTTTTCACATACTCTCTCTCTTTCTGTTTCTCTCCCTCTCTCTCTTTCTCTCTTTCGTCGCCATTCTCTCTCTCTCTGAACCTCATTACGTTTTTATCCCAACAGATTCCTCTTTCCTCCAACGGTGGTCAACGCGTTCTACAACCCTCAGGAAAATACAATCAGTGAGTTTTAAAAAAATCTGATCTTCTTTATTATCTTCATTTATCTATTCATTATTAATTTATTTCTTTATTATCTTCAACGTAATGTCTTTCTTTAGCGATACTTTGATTTTGATTTTTGCTTCTTCGATTTTCATCTAATCATTTGTCCTGTAGATGTCAATTTTGAGGATCATTAAAATATATCTTATATCTATTGTTGAGTCTTCTTTATGCTTTTCTACCGCATTACTTTCTCTCCTAAATATGATGTCGACTTTCATACCTTCATATCCTTTGAAAACTGTATATTTGATTTTTGATTAGCATTAATGATAATAATTGTTGCACACTAATCCCTTAATATTTGTTTCTTTGCAACACTTCACCTATTCGTGTTTTTATTATTATTATTATTATTACGTCTTTCTGGTATTCTTTTAAAGCCTACATTCTTATTGTACCTCCCTTTTTTATACTTTTCTAAAATAAGGTTTTTGTTCTGTTTCACTTACCTTTCCCCCCTTTCTTACATTATTTCGTCTTTCTTTTACTCACTTCATTTATCCCCTTCAAGCCATACTCGCCGGCATTCTACAGACGCCCTTCTACGCCCACAATACCCTCGCCGCCCTTAACTACGGAGGCATCGGCATGGTCATCGGGCACGAGATGACCCATGGCTTCGATAACACAGGTGACTTGGCTCTCCTTTGTAAATTCGTTGTTGGTGCGATTTTGAGAAAGTACCGGCATCAGCTGCGGGGGTCAAAGTGAGTGTGGAATAGGGTGGGGGACTAGGTTTAGTGAGGGGTAGGGGGGGGTAAAGAAGGGGGGTGGGGGGCGGAAAGTCTCAGGGGAAGGGGATAAGGTCGGGATGGAAGGGGTTAAGGTCTGCTGTGTATGTTTCTCTATAGATATTGTCCCAGATTTCCGCTCGGATGTGTGATAACAGAGCAGAGTATTACTGATAAAGCGACGAAGGATGGCTAAGATGTAAAATGATAAGAAATACAGATTAAATTTGTAACTATCTTAAGGTATACAGTCATAAGTGGTCCATCGACTAAAAAATGATTTATATTTGCGTTTAATATGTGTTCCTGTGAGCCCATTTGGAATTCCAGAAAGGAAACGGTTTTGCATTTTTAGCTTTATGTGATACTGTTTCACATTTGTTTCGAAACAGAAATGAACCACAATATTTTCTTTGACAGGGCGTCTCTTCGACAAGCAAGGAAACCTGGTTCAGTGGTGGAGCGATGAAACCATTGCAGCTTATGAAGAACGTGCAAAGTGCTTCGTTGATCAATACAATGGCTTTATTCCACCTGAACTCATCGAAGCCGGCTTGAACATCTCGGTAATGGAGAGAAAACACTCGTTATTTCCCCCCCGCCCCTTTCATAACAACCTACAGTTTTGGTCATGTAGTTACAATCACAACCACAGTCAAATACAGTTGAATACAAATAGGGAAATGAAAAGACAAATAACCATCGGTAATTTTCTAGCAATGACTAGAACCATATCGAAAGTCTCCACTGGAACTTCAAACGCCACAAATCTCTATTTTTTTATACCGTAACTGACTCTCAATAGTGGAGAATTTTGACATAGCTTCACCAACCACAAGGCTTTAAAAGTATCCGAAATTCATTCCTGACAGCCCCCCCCCCCCCAAAAAAAAAAGAAGAATAAGAATAAGAATAAGAAGAGGGAAAAAATAAATAAATAAAAAAAGAAAAAAAAAGAAAAAGAAAAAAGAAAAAGAAAAGAAAAAGAAAAAGAAAAGAAAAAGAAAAAGAAAAAGAAAGAAAAAGAAAAAGAAAAAGAAAAAGAAAAAGAAAAAGAAAAAGAAAAAGAAAAAAGAAAAAGAAAAAGAAAAAGAAAAAGAAAAAGAAAAAGAAAAAGAAAAAGAAAAAAAAGAAAAAAGAAAATGAAGAAGAAAAAAAAAACAAATATATATAAACCAATAAAAATAAACAAATAAATAAATAAAATAAAATAAAATTTCATGTCCTCCTGCAGGTGAACGGCCTACAAACGGAAGGCGAGAACATAGCAGACAACGGCGGGATCAGAGAAGCATACAAAGCCTACCAACTGTACGTAGAGAGGTACGGAGAAGAGCCGCGCCTGCCTGGCCTCGACGAATTCACTCCCGATCATCTCTTCTACCTCGGATTCGCTAATGTAAGTTTGGATTATTTATTTATTTGTCTATTTATTTGGTTGATCTTGCCGAGAGCGACGCACAGAAATAGAGACAGAGATAGATAAACGGACACTGTTATATTATAGAGCATAAGATATAGAAATATTAGCTACACAGGCATATCTGTAGCGACCTCATATTTACGGCAAAGTGACGAAAATATCTTCTTTGCATGTCACCGCTCACACAGACATTTTCTTAATGTCGTGTTTTCTGTAAATTGGGAGGAAGTGCTAATAAAGGAGGGGGTGGGGGTATGGGGGGGGGTAGCTTCCTGTCTAGGGGATAAATAGAAGGTAAGAAATAATAGGTTTGGAATTTTTTGGTTCACATAGTACCCTGGTGTTTGGCACTTGGTCTCTGGAGGTGCGTCGCCCTCTGTAACAAATACAATTTATTTATTTGTGTGAGTGAGTAGAATTTAGCTCAATGTTATTATCATTATTAATAATAATGATAATGATGATTATGATAATAATAATAAGAACAATGATAATGATAATGTTGATGATAATAATGAGAACAATGATGATGGTAATAATAAGAACAATGATGATGATGACGATGATGATGACAACGAAAACAACAATTAACAAAAACAAACCGCTTAACAAGGGCTCCTTATCTACACATCCAGGTCTGGTGCGAACACAAGACCGCCCAATCCGTTCTGACTCAGCTGGCCGTCGACCCTCACTCTCCAGGAAGGTTCAGAGTCTTGGGGCCTCTCTCTAACGACGCCGAATTCTCCCGTGTGTGGAACTGCCCTGCTGGTTCGCCAATGAACCGTGGCGATGAGAGCTGCCTCCTGTGGTAGTGGCTGAAGGAGGGAAGGAGGAGAGAACGAAGGAGGAGGTGAAAAGGGTGAATGGTGAAAAAAAATTTACGTGGAACTCTATTGGGGAAAATATTTTTT